GTCCCCGTGGGCGAGCTTTGCGAGGTGACAGCTACCCAGCTGTAAGGCACTGGGGGGAGGCAGGGCAAAGCCCAAGGACACCCCTCCTGAATTCACGCTCCGGTCCAACCCCACCAGGAGCCCAGGTGGGGGCCTCTCTCTTCCTAGAGACACGGCAAGAGGTGGGTGACAAGAATATCCAAGTCTGGAAAGGTGTCTCAAACATGACTGCCCGCATTTTTTTTTGCTGATGTACTCACCAGCAGCTGGAAGAGCTTTTGGGGTGAGGAGAACCCATGCCCCATACCTGGCTGTCCAGTTACAGGCACTGGGCTACTGCCCTTCCCCTTAGTCCATCTCCAACACACCCTAAGAGTCCTCCCTAAGATGCAGAGACTAAACCAGAACAAACTGGAGAGAAACCAAATAAATGCAGAAGCATGGATATGAACCAAAGGAGAAGCAGAGCCCCCCCAAGAGCACCCCAACCCTGAAGGCGTCTGAGAAATCCCCTCTGCCCAGGGATGCTCTTCCCATCAGCAGTCAGGAAGAGCAAGCAGACCTGTGGTCACCAGGGTGCCCTGTATCCACCACCTCCTCTTGGTCAGGGGTGAAAAGCAGGTTGGCAAGGAGGCCCACGACTGTTGGAGGTACCAGACCTTGGAGACATCCTGAATTTCAGACCCATCCTGGCATGCCACAGCTCAGGTTCGATGTGGGTCTGAGATGCACTGGGCTGTACATTGGGCTGGAAACATCACAGTCAGGGAGCTGGTTGGTTGGCTCCTGCTTCTTACAGTGCTTATAAACACCCCAAACCACGGCCACCAGCCTGTGAGTTATCGGTGCTCTCGCAGCCCTCTGAAAGGAAGACAAAACCTTTCGGTGGGAGGGAAGCAGAGGAGGAGATGGGAATGGAGGTGCTGTAATGAATTAGCAAGAGGTGAGCATCACACCCAGTCTGGGAGGCTTGGTTTCCTCCTGCTCAGCCGTGGAAATACACGTTTCGTGGGGCACATGACACTAAAATCCTGCACACCCAAGGTGGGTGCAGCCGCCCACACCCAGCTGCCAACATCTAGCAGGTACCTTGCCCACGCAGGGAGGGAGGGGAGGGAGCAGGTTTCAGGTTTTCACCCCTTTAACTCTGTGCAGTTTTTGCAACTTTTTTTTTCTGTTTCGTGCTCACTGATTTTCCCCTTTATCTCAATAAAGTAAGTCGGACCTGGTCTTTCTCTTGTCTGTCGATAGAGATGTTCCATCCCTCTGAGGGCTGGCAGGCTGGGGATGCTCTGTTGCTGTGACATGGTGTGCTGGTTTTGTCTGGGGTGGAGTTAAATTTCCTCCCAGTAGCAAGTACGGGGCTGTGTTTTGGATTTGTGCTGGAAACAGTGTTGATAACACAGGGATGTTTTCGTTACTGCTGAGCAGTGCTGACACAGAGTCAGGGCCTTTTCTGCTCCTCACCCCACCCCACCAGCGAGCAGGCTGGGGGGCACAAGAAGCTGGGAGGGGACACAGCCGGGACAGCTGACCCCAACTGACCCAAGGGATATCCCACACCACATGACGTCATGCTCAGCATAGAAAGGTGGGGGAAGAGGAAGGAAGGGGGGGACGTTTGGAGTGATGGCGTTTGTCTTCCCAAGTCACCGTTAGGCGTGATGGAGCCCTGCTTTCCTGGAGATGGCTGAACACCTGCCTGCCCATGGGAAGCAGTGAATGAATTCCTTGGTTTGCTTTGCTTGCGTGCGCGGCTTTTGCTTTCCCTATTAAACTGTCTTTATCTCAGCCCATGAGTTTTCTCGCTTTTACCCTTCCGATTCTCTCCCCCTTCCCACCGGGGGGGAGTGAGCGAACGGCCGTGTGAGGCTTAGTTGCTGGCTGGGGTTAAACCACAACACATGGCAGCCATAGGGAAGGGAAGAAGGCAAAGGCAGAGCCCTTTTGTGGTCCCGTATGGGGCATCTGACCACGGCTAGTCAGTGCAGGGCAATAAAGGCAAGTCAACATGAAGTAAACAGTGTATTGGAGCACCCCCAGGCAGGCGAGCAGGGGGGTTATAGGAGGACTTTAGTTCCTGGAGTGACCCTGGGCATGGGGAAGGTTTGATGGGAGCAACCCCCAGCCCAGCAGAGAGGTTTGCCGAGGGACCACTGTGGGGCAGGCCCTCTGGGGAGGGGGTGCTCGGACATGGCATCCTGCCCCATCCCACTCCGGATGGAAGAGCCTTCAGTGCGGACCAAGAGGACCCAACAGGCATTGAAAAATAGGCTGGAGCTGAACTCCTTGGGCTTGGGAGACCTCAGCCAGGACGTTCCCAATGGCATCTACCAGGAGATGCTTCAGCCTAGAGATGGACTAGATCCAAGGTGCAACAAACACCTTTTATTTGTTGAATTGAAATTCAGCCCTCATAAACCTTTGCCTTTCCCTGGCATTGTCCCCCCTTGCAGCCCAGCCTGGGGGGCAGGGGAGTGGGCAGCTCTGCTGCCTGCTAGATGGCATGGTGGCTGCATGCCCTGGTGCAATGAGTGCTTCCAGGCATGGGGACCACAGCCCTTGCAGAGCCCTAGGCTGTGCTCTCCGGGATGCTTACAGTGTTTGCTCCATTGCTGGCACTGACTCTCTGGTTAGATGCCAGATTCCCTGGGCAGCCTGGGCCAAGAGCCAGGGATTTAATGGCAATTATTTTATGTCTTGTTGTCCAACAACGGCTCAGTCCAGCCAGGAAACTGAGCCAGGACCTGTGGCGGACAGAGGAGGTAGGACCTGCAGCAGCACAACCTGGGGACTGTACAGCCACAGCTCTTATAGTGCATGTGAAGAAGCTGCTATGACAACATGTAGTGAGGCAAAATAATCATCCCTGAGCAATGGCCCTTGTGTGTGCACCCCCCTGTGGTGGCAAGGGAAGAAGTTCTCCACCTGTAAATCTCCTTGCAGGTGGCCAGCCCCTGTACACAGCCAGCCCCTGTTGTCCTGACGCCTGGCTCTGCATGAGACACAATGCGTGAAGGGGTCTTTGCATCCCCCATCATGTCATTGCCACTGCTCAGTTGGCCCCATGCAAGCCCTGCTGCAGAAATCCCAGCTGTCCTGTGTTTGCTAGGAAGCGGGCAAGACACACAGAGATCTGGTGTCTCTGTGCTTCAAACAGATCAAATTTTGTTTATGTTTTGTTTATTTGAGTTCATGCCCCTGTATGTCTGGTGCAACAGGCCAAAGCTTCTCTTCTGGTGAGGATGCTATTGGGGGGGGAGAATCATGCCTAAAAGCAGGAGATGAGGCTGGAGAGTGCCAGATGCAGTGGCAGAAAGGATGGGAAACCCCCCAGCCTCCTGTGCTTTCAGGGCACGGGGTCTGTCCCACACCAGCCCCAATAACTTGTGGTTGGTTGTAGCATCTTCGCACGATGCCTCCGGACCTGACATGTCTGGACATAAGAAAGACTCGAGAAAGGTTCCTCTTTTTCCTGAGGGAGTTTTGTTGGTTTAATCTTATGGCTTTTGTCCTGCTGCTTGGCTAGTTGAAGTCCTTCTGAGACTCTCCTACATCTCTCCGCACAATGCCTCCAGACCTGCCACTGGTAAGACTCGAGAAAGGCTCCTCTTTCTCCTGAGGGAGTTTTGTTGGTTTAATCTTATGGCTTTTGTCCTGCTGCTTGGCTAGTTGAAGTCCTTCTGAGACTCTCCTACATCCCTACAGCGTGCTGCTCCCCACAACAAGTGTTTCTCAAGGGCTCACCTTGACACATGCCAACAAGCCTCGTCCTTCCCTGGGGGCACCTCTGCCAGGGCAGCTTCCCCTATGGGAAGGATGCGTCTGCTGGGGGCTCGCAGGCAGTCACCTGCAGATAAGCCTCACAGCCCCCGCTTAAGAAACCAGCCCACAAAAATGCCCAAAGTGTTTCAAAGGAGTGGGTTTTTAATAAAGTTTTCTTGAAAATAATAATTCTTGCCCATAAGTCACATTAGTGCAACAGAAATATCATGTGAAAGAAATAAGTAACTTAACACCAAGGGTCTTTTCTCAGAAAGAAAAGAGCCAAAATACTGAAATTATGTCCTTTACAATTAATTGGACTGAAGCTGCCCAGGTCTCCAGCATTCAGATATGGCGATCGCTTTGTGCCAGCCCGTGGAGACTTCATCAGGCCGGTGGGTTTGGTGCCAGAGCCCATCTTCTGTTTGTAACAACGCAGCTTGATGCACTTTATTTCTCACCTTGGCTGGGTCTGACTCCTGGCCTCAGGCTTGTGTTTCGTGGTGAGCCCAGCCAGCCCAAGTGTGCTCCAGCTGGATGGGGGTAACTTCATTCTTCCCTCTCCTTCCTTTCCTGCGGCATCTTTTTGGCCCGCACTAGGCTACAAGCCTTACCTAATAAAGCCCAAGTTTGAAAGTGACAATAATCACATCACCACATTTCCCCCTGGCAAACTCCATCGCATGTTTACTCAGTCTTTATTTCTGGAGCAGCTTTTTTACTCAAGCTCGTGCAGCATCCAGCCTGACAGAGCCTGGGTCTGTGCCTGGCTTTCCTAGGTACATCTAAAGGTCTACACTAAACGTCAGTGCTTGAGAAAGAAATGAGCAGGTTTGATCAATGGCTTTTGGAGTCGTGGGTGCTCCCCATGACAAATCTCACCAGTGAGCTCAGCTTCTGGTGTGGGAACTGGCCATTGGAGACTCACTGCACCAAGCTGTGCCACGGCTTGGAGCAAGCAGGGCATTTCTCCTGGGACAGAGATCCCCAGGTGAGTGTGCAGCTCAAGTCGCCGGAGCTGTGAGCTGCTCCGATTGCGCCTGCCAGCTCTCTGTAAAGCCTGCCCTTTTCCAGAGGACACGGTCAGGGACATAGAGTCTGCAAAGGTACTTCTCGACAAGTACCCATCCCAACGTGGACTCGTGCACTCTTTAAAGGCAGTTGGATGGGGAAATGGGTCTCTGGGGACATCAAGAAGGGTTTGTGCTCTGCCCTTTCGGGCCCACCTTCAGCAAAAGAGTGGGAAAAACTTTCTTCTAGATGCCTTTGGAGTTGAGTTTGGACAGCTGAGAAGGAGACAGTCCTTTGTTCACAAAATGAGGGTTGACATACACTTCAGTCATCTCCTGGTACTCCTCTGCTTTGTCCTCATGGAGATCAAAGAAAGTTTTCAGTAGGTCCAAGTTGAAGTAGTGCAGTGCGACAACAGTGATCCCAGCCACAAAACAGAGCAAGCCTGGAAGATGACGTGCTCTCTGAGAACGTTCCTGTAAACACCAGCACACTTCCCACCCCGCACCCCTCCTCTGACGGCCGCCTGCCAGGGGACAATGCCTTCTCTTATGGAAGACGGCCTTCTACTGTATGAGGTGGCCTTAGCTGCTGTGCTGAGCACCTTAAAACCCAGGCATGGGTCTTAAAACCCAGGCAAGTGATCCCCATCTCCTTGCATTACTGCACCTCAGGGACTAAAAATCCCTCCATCACCCTTGAGATGGGGATGGTGCTCCTGCTTCTGCCAGCCCTCTCCACATCTCTGCCAGGATCTGCTTTGCCAAGGCACAGGCTGGGGCTCTGGTGGGCTGCACTCCCCGAGCTCTCTCACCTGCACTTGTGGGAGGAAAGCACTGGGAGTCCTGCACACCCAGAGGGACAAGGTGGTGTGCTCTGATGTAGCTTGTTGTCCTTACCAATCACTAGCATGAGCCAGAAAGATCCCCCATAGCCTGTGCGCAGGACTGCAGTCCCAAACTGGATCGGGCACATCAGGGAGTTCTTCACAGTGGAGAACGAGAGCAACGAAAAGATCATGAAGGCCCCTGTGACCAGCAGCATGTAGCCTCCATAGACTAGGACGGGCATGGAGAAGAGTATGTTGGAGATGAGCCAAGTGCAAAAGGCCACCCTGGAGACAAGAGAAGACTAATGGATGAGTTGTGCAAGTGCCATGGACTAGGATGCTCTATGTGAGGATTTCCATGTGGGAGGAGAAATCTGGGGTCCAGGTTGCATTGTATGAGGCCAAGAAGCTCTGTGGGCAGGCTGGAGTGACCCCTGGCCTCCCAGGCTGAGCAAGTAGATGTGCAATACTCACACTGCTATATCCAGAAGGCAGAAGCCCGCATTTCCTCTTCCCATTGCTCAGCCCACAGACCATACCAGCCTTAAGGAGGCCATGGCAGCCCACTCTAGACTATCTCAGCTCCCTGCCCTTCCACATGTGGGGCAGTGCAGACCCCAGAGAGCAGCACACAGGACTGGAATAATTGCAGAAGCAGGCATAAGTCATTTGCAGCAGCTCTGAACTTGTCTCAGAAGCTGGGTGACAGGGGAAGCTTTCAGCTATGGATCGGGAGCTCCATGGTACCACCAGGCCCCTCTCCCAGCTCCTGCATCCCTGCTCTCAAACCCAGTGCAGGGGAACAGCGCTGCAATGGTCCTTGCCCTTCACAACCCATGGTAGAGGGGAGCATCTCCTGACAGCCCTGGAGCAGCTCTCCCTTAGCCCAGAGGAGCAGTAACATGTCACTGCCCAGCAGATCCAACTAAAGAGTCAAGATCAACCCCACAATAACAGCATCATCAGCTTCTCCTCATTTGGTCCCACTCCCAAACATTAAATACCCTTACAGATGGGGATGGGAGAATTCTGCACATGCCCACGGGCTTCTCTGGGCCACCAAGGACAGCAGCTTCAACTCCCTCCATGGGGATGGACCCCTGCCATCATCACCACATCACGGCAGGGATCTGTACCATGTTCCTCTCTCCTGTGCCCAGCCCTGGTGAAGTTGACCAGCAGAGACAACCAGGACCATCCCTCTTATCTGCTCACCCCAAGGTGCCTACAGGGCCACTGGTTTGACCGCAGACCTTGCACATGGCTTTCCTCCTGGGAAGGGTAGCAGAGCCTTTCCTATGTCCTTGCATCTCCCCTGCCTGCACCAGGAGAGAAAGGCTCACCAGAGAGTGGCCGATGCGTAGTGGCTGGAGATGCGGTACTGCCTGTGCATGCTGCAGGGGCTTTGCGTGGTGAACTTCTCCGCCACATAGAGGATAGGGCTGGGCAGCCCCCTCTCCAGCCCTTCACTGTAGCTCTGGTCATAGTCTGCATTGAAGCTCCAGGCAAAGTGCTCGTTGTAGTCGATGGTCTCGTTGACCTGATTCACCGGGTTTCCTGTTGGAGGGAGAAGACTCAGGTCCTGCTGTGTCGCAGCAGCCTGGGTGCTGCCAGCTAGGAGCACGGGCACACCAGGGACAGCAGGGTCCCAGGAGCAGCCACGCAGACCAAGGCCACCCATAGAGCACTTGGAGATCTCCTGGGGCCGTGGCCACTCCAGAGCTGCAGACAGGGACATCAGACTCACCCATGAGTGTGACGTTCACCCCCGCCAGGCCAACATGCAGCCCAACGTCCACGTTCACCAGGGCACGGCTGAAGGACTTGTAGGAGGTGTTTGCCTTCACCCAGCCGGTCTCCCAGTCCCCCGTGAACTGGACAACTGTCAAGAAAAGTAAAGCTGGGGTTAAAGAGGGGTCGGTCTCAGGCTTCGTTGTGCTTAAGGGGGATCACAGGCAAGCACAAATGGCGGTGTTCCCACTGTGGCACTGCAAGGGAGTGTAAGGAGGGCAGGAGAGCTGACTCAGCCACCAGGACGTGCCTCAACCAGCTCCCACGCCCTGGCGGAGCTCATGTCCTCCCCTCGCTGAGCATCCACTCCCTCGATCCGGGAGGGGGGGTGAGCTCAGATCCCCAGGGATGAACCCCATGATGTGACTCCTCCTTGGACATCCTCTCCAAGGCTTCCCCGCAAGCTCCCCACCGCGGCGAGCACCGCAGCCCCCGGGGACAGGGCTCGGAAATGAGGCCGTTCCTCTGCCTTAGGAACAGAGGTGAGTTTCATTGCCAAATATTAAGCTCCCTAGATCGCACTATTAGTGAATAGTGAAGAACACTGTCAAACGGAGGTGGTGGAGAGGGGCGGCAATTGCTGTCACAGCTCTGCCAGTCATTTCAGCTGGGGGAAAAATTTGAAATATTTCTGGTATATGTTTTTTGGTACAAAGTATCCTTTTCTGAAACACTTTCACTTTGTGGTGGGCTTAATTTTCCAGCACTGAGACAAGCTGAAAGTGAAGGTGATGATTTAATCTCAGGCTGAACAAGACCTTTTAAACCTGCCCGAAAATAAGTTCAGCTGCTGAATCAACTTGTGAGGGCACTGATCCAGTAGCAGCTCTGCAGGAACATTTTCTAGCTGCAGGGTCGAGTGTGCCCTGCTGCCGCCAGTCAGAAACCCTGACGCTGGCTTTAAAACAATTAATTCCTCCTGTGTGCCCAAGCAGCGCCCGGCTGCCTCCTTGTAAGGAGAGCGGCGCTGGATGGCTTTCCAGGGCTGAGCTGGTTAAGGCTGTGGAGCAAGCCCTGACCTCCACCCCTCTTCCTGGCACCATGTTCCCGGGCAGCTCTGGTGGCATCTCCCAGCACCTGGACATCCCCAGGCAAAGGGTGACCACCGCATGCTGGACTGGCCCATGTGTCAGCCGGCAGAGTCCCACGGCTGGTCACAGCCTGGATATCTAGTTCTAGCCTGGTCGAATCGGGGGTTGAGTCATTTAGTTGTGCTTCATCATCCCTCTCCAAGCAGTCTTGTAATCCACCCTGCCCTTCGCAGCAGGAGAGTTTCTTTGGTTTAGGGTCAGGGCTGGTTGCTCTCCCCATCTGGCACCTTCTATCCCCTCAGTACATCTTTCGCTTACATGTCCTGTCGCCCTGTCCAAGTTGGAAATCCCACAGCCTGGTTTCCACCACCAGTCCCATTTATTACAGAAGATTTCCTGGTTTCTACTAAATCAAATCCTCTCCCTCATCTCCTCCTGCCTTGCTCCCTGGAAGGTCTTTACCCCCCCCAACTTCTGCCCTGCCTGTGTTTTATTTTGACCTGCTCTCTCCACGTCACTGCAAGGCTCCTCTGATCCTCCAAACATGCCTGGCTGCAGTCCAAGCTGCTCAGTCATGCTCCCTCGGCACCGGGCAGCTCAGGAGGGCTTGCACGGCTGGAGGAACATGGGGCTGTGCAGCCCACCGGAGCTGGGGCTGTTCGACCTCCGCGGTGCAGTTACAGCCGGCAAAGCTCCCTCTTGATTCAGAAGTGACCACAGGCACCTCCAGGTGCCCTCAGTCCTCATGGCAGGGATGGGGAAGCCCTTTTGGGAAGCTGCATGACTGCTTTGCAGAGCAGGGGTTGGGCAGACCCTGCAGCCAGCCTCGGCCAGGCCACAGCTGTGACCACCAGCTCACATTTCCCAGACACAGACCCTGTCCTGGGGTTTAATCCTGCCCCCAGACCCACCCTCCGAGGGCTGTGCAGCCCTTACCGACAATCACCACTCCCACGACGAGGCTGAGAAGAACCCGGAGCGTCCAGTAGATCCTCTGCGGGGAGAGAGGTGGGACATCAGGCAGGGAGGAACAGCCCTGGCTGTCCACCTGCCTCACCCCAAACCAGCCGGGAGTGTCCCAGCATCCAAAACGTGGGGAGCAGATGCTTATCCCCAGGGAGAGGGGGTCACGCACCGCCCGTCCGCGGATGCCGGGGATGATGAGCAGGAAGCTGCAAGCGAACGTTAGGAAGACCACGATTACTATGATGGTGCTGACATCGAACACAAAGACCTTCCTCTGCTGCGGGTAGAAGGGGTAGACGCCATCAAAGAGAGTCATCCTGCACCTCCGGCAGCCTGCGGGAGAGACATGGTCACAGCGGGGACCCTGCACTGCCCTGCCTGGCTGCCTCGAGCCCATGGTGGCCAGCCCCAGCTCAGCTCTGGAATAACCAGCTGCAGGAGGTCCACCTCAAAACTCCCCAGAGGGACAAGGAAATGCGACGCTGCAAGGAAACAGGCAGGGCAAAATACTACCCCAGCAGAGAAACATGCCACCCAAAAGCCCTCAGTGGAGGAGAGGAGGTGCCTGGGGCAGGGGTCCACCAGCCTGGAGGGTTTGTGGCAGCCCGGAGAACCATGAGCTGCGGTCCTGCTGCAGCTTGAGGAGCAGCCTAGGCCCAGAAACCTGTCAAGCGGCTCCTCCCCAGACAGAGCCGGGTATTTCCCTCCAGCAGATGCAGCCAGGGCTTTCCCCTTTTTTGGCACGCCCTTAGAGGAAGCCCATGAGCCGGCAACCACTGGGAGATGCAGCCTTCCTCCAAAATGACAAGGAACCACTGAGAACATTGATTTCACAGTAGCAAAATTATCCCCAGCCAGGGGCCACCATCGCCAAGCAGAACAAAGCCCACCACCCCCATTTCCACCCCCTCTCCTCGAAGAGGTTTTTCCCCAGGAGCTGCAAAAGTACAATCTGGGGAGGGAGGACCGTTCCTGCGCTTGGTCCAGAGGGGCCAGAAGGAACCCCTAGAGTTGGGCTGTGGGTCCAAGGAGCACACAAGCGTCAGGAGCATGTCTCAAGGCTAAAGGAAACTGAGTTACATGAGATCAAATGGCAGACGAAGCGTGTAATTCCCATAGATGGCTTTGAACTCCCACCAACACTTTAGTTCTAACAATTACAGAGCTTCCCCCATTCCTGGGTTAGATCTTTTCTACCAAAACTGATTACATGCTTCATCCTTTTATTTCGCTTATTTAATAGCATCTCTGCATGTCACTACCCCAGGAAGTCTTCTAAAGTCAGGGAATACCAGGGCTAATATGACTCATGACCAAATACAATTTCATTCTGTCCCTGCATGGAGGAGCTGATTTTATTCTCATTTTCTGACAACAGTATTAATTGTATTTTTAGGTAAGATCCAACCCAGAGCAATTCAGCCACAAAAAAGCAGGTCCCAAATCCCTAAAAGTGGGTGGGGATTACAAGAAGTATCATAAAACAATTTACCTGGGCAGCTGAAGTCACTCTTCAATGCATAAAGCAATATTTTGTTTCAGAATAATTCTCTGTCCAGTAACCCAGATCATTACAGCAAACAGTTTAACAGACACTGGGTTTTTACAACTGGCTTACAACTGATCTAGACCTGACCTTATCTTGACTCTCTGCTCCAGACTAACAGAGCTATCGTGTACTTACAAATCTTGTTACGGGCTATTTTGCTGTAGCAGTTTTGGGCTATTTCCCTGGAAAGCCAAGCCCAGAGAAGGGCAGCCTTCAAGCCCCATTCCTGCTGTGATTACCTGGCAAGCAGGAGCTGTGATTGAGTCCCGATGCTACAATGTTGGACTGAAGTCCAGCCGCAGGGTCCCCAGCCCAGCAAACGTGCCCACAAACACTCTGAGTGGCTCTAAGGGAAGAAATAAATGAACAGGTTAGCCTAGGACAAGTTAAGTCTTGATCACTTGAATTCCACTGGTTTCATTATATCTTTGCCCAAATTTCATGTGAGATGCAATGACTGAAGGAATGATTTCCAAGCCTGTATTCACAGACAAGCAACTCTTCACAGCTTAAAACAGATCAACAATTCATAGCAACTGAAAACCCAGAACGTAACATGGAAAATGTTGTCTTTTTAAATCTAAATTTAACTTTCAAACAATATCAAAGGATGTTTGCATTTCCTCTACACTTTGCAACTTCTGGGAATAGTTTTATAGGTGATTTCCAGGGAAACAACTCTTTCTGTTGCTGTCCGCCCAATCTTCCCCACTTGATTACTCTGCACAGAAGACCAGCTCCTTGGCATTTTTGCAGCTTTGAAGTGGAAAACTGGTGCCTGCAGCTTAGGGCAGGAGAAACTGAAGTTGTTGCACCTTGGAAAACCTCTATGCAGAAGCATGGCTGTGGCCTGAGAGCCCCTGTGGTTTCCTCTGTCACAATGTATGGAGAAGGAAAAGACTGGAGACATCTTCAAAGAAAGATCAGTAATTTAGCAGAAATGGACAACTTATCTTTTGTTTAAAATGTTCTGGACTGGCAGGGGAGAAGGGCAAAGGAGGCAGAAAGTTTGCCCAAACCCCAGCAGTTCCTGCTTACAGAAACCCTGTTTTCCTGCCCCAGGGTGAATCCAGCTGGAAAGGACCTTTCGGAAGTGCCTGGCCAAAACCTCCTCACAGCAGAGCCAACAGCAATCCGAGATCGGGTTGCTCAGGGCTGCAGATTGGTATTTTCCATTGGAACAAGGGAAATCCTGTCCCCTGGAAACTGATCAGAGCTGCCCCTGTAAGGGGGTCAAATCGGGATAGGAAAAACCACCGGGTTAACTCAGGATGGGGATTCATCCCCCCCCCTCCCCACCCTT